TGTGAGTTTGTGAGTGAGTAAATGTGTGCGTGAGTTTGTGTGTGTGTGTGTGTGTGAGCTTCTGTGTGCATATGTGTGCAAAAAGTCCACTGGACTGATGCTGTGCAAAGAACCAGAATTCTTTTTTGTTGTTTGTTAGCTACCTTCCATCAAAAATGGATTCAATCAGGGGTGCCTGGGCGGCACAGTCGGTTAAGCATCCGACTCTTGATTTCAGCTCAGGTCATGATCTCAGGGTGGTGAGATGTGAGCCCTGCTTTGGGCTCCAGCACTCAGCGCAGAGTCTGCTTGAGATTCTCTCCCCCCTCCCTCTGCCCCTCCCCACCACTCTCTAAATAAATAAATAAATAAAATCTTTTTTAAAAATGGATTCATCAGAAGCAGAACCATTGTTTCAAGTTAGCATGTTTAATCAGAAGAGAGGATTATAGAATCAGCTTAGCGAGTAAAATTAACTTACGTAAAAAGTAGCCACACAAGCAACCCCTTCTTGCTCCAAGTGCAGAAATTGACACATTGTCATTATAATCCCAAAGGATAAGATTCCTAGGGAACATGAGATGAAAAAAACAGGTATCTGACGGCTTGAATATCTGGCAAAGGATTATTTCATTACCACAAGAAAGTTTTACAAGTAAAATAACACAAATTAAAATAATTTAAATAATCGATACTTTGGCCCAAGAGAAGAGAGGAAAAGAAAAAGTGGCTCAGCAGCTGCCGCCTCTGATACCTGCCTAATTTCCCAAATGAATCCGAAAGGCAAGAAGAGCAGCCTCGATATTTCTGAAGTTGGGAGTTTTTTTTCAAACCCACCAGAAATATTTGTATTTCTTTTATTTAGTGCCCATTTGCTTGTCATCATGGGAAAAAGAACTTCAGCTAGGACCCAGAATTCTAACCCTGAGGTGAAAGCCCTGCTTGGGGGATGGCATAAGGAGAATTCGCTGTGTTTTTGTCATTCCTGCGGCCCTTTGCCCCAGCTAAGCAGAGCCGTTCAAGCTCTTTGTTTTAGAGCAAAACCAGACTCAAATCATTTCATCTCCTTTTTACTGATAACACTCAAAGAGGTTATAGCCCTTGCTTAAGGTCACACAGTGAATAAAGACAGGGCCAGGGCTGGACTTTAAACTCTACAGCTCTGCATCAAACCAGCTACTGGGTTCAAATGCCAGTTCTACCACCGATTGGTCGTGTGACCCTGGGCCAGTCATTTAACTTTTCTGCACTTCATCTATATAACAAGGACGGTTGCTGCACCCAGCTCATCAGACACTATGAAGACTGGTGAATTATTTTGGCAAAGCCCCCAAAACAGTGCTGGTGCATGACAAGTGCTTGATCATCACCACCACCATCATCATCCTCACCACCATTAACACCACCACCATCATCATTTCTCTGTAGGGTGGTTTCCATATACATTTTAGAATCCATTGAACCCTCGTGATTTATTCCTGTTTAAGTATGATAGAGGACTAAAAAAAAAAATGTATTTTAAGTGTTGTATGGTTTTCAGGGCAATCAAAATGTTAGATCTGAGATTAGTCATTCAGTCAAAATGAGTTTCAATTTCTACATTTGACAAAAGATGACACTTGTTCTAGCTACCTCATACAATTAGGTGATGAGCATATGAAATGTGTACAAAGGTGAAAAAAGAAAGAAAAGAGGTGGAATTTATGGAGGAACCACGGGTGCTCTGTGATTTACCAACACTTAATTAATTTAATCCTCCCAAAAACCCTGTTGTGGATATCCCACAGACAGGATGGTCAGCCACTCAAAATTTGATTTGAATGTCAAGACTGAAAATGCCACACACACATCAGCAGGGGATGAACAGGTTTCTTGCTCACATAATGGGGCTCTCTGGGGAGATCAGGCAGCTCCCAAATAGATCCCCGGTGGCTTAAAACAGAAGGGAAAGGAAGCGGCCTGGGGGCGTGAACAGGGAGCTGCAGGCAGGGGCGGAGCCAGTAGCGCATGGGCGGGGCTTACGGGGTTGGAACCCCTCCCCAACACCCAGGCTTTCGGATCAGTCTGCCCGGATGTGGAGCAGAAGGCAAGAGGGAGAGGTGAGACTGAAAAGCTGTCAATGGTCACACATCAAAAACCCAAATCAGACCCTTTATTACAAACCCTATGAGGTAGATCTCGTTCTCAAAGATGAGGAAACTGAGGCTCGGTCAGTTTAGATCACCTGTCAGAGCAGGTTTTAACTGTGGCAGCTCAACCTCAAAATCGCACATCCTGCCTCCACACCAGTTAGTTCCCAGAGCCTGTGAGTGCCTGTCACCGGGCGCCACCAGAAGTCAGTCAGCCGACCACAGAAAAGCTGAAAACAGCCTAAATCCATTTTAATCCTAACGAATGGCTTATGAGTTTCTTAATTTTCTCAAAAAAAAAAAAGACAAGGAAAGAGAAGAGAAGACAAGAGAAGAGAGGAAAGAGAAGAAATAGAAGAAAGAAAAGAAACAAAACTTCCGAGTTAGGTTCTATTGTTTCCATTGCTAACATTATTGTCTTTGCGATGGGGGGAGGGGTGACACTCTGTTTAAAGGCTTCTCTTCACATACAGGTAAAATTCCATTTCCAATGTATCCAGTGAGCATTAGGTTCTATTTCAGTAAGCACCCGTCTGCAAAGGCCAACATCCATTCCCCTTATCTGTAACTGAGTGTGTGTAAGGGGTTTTTTTTCCCTCTCTGTTTATCTTCTCTATAGAGATTGCCTTCTTCCCCCCTCCCCCCCCCCAGAAAACGAGAGTCTCGAGTACAACTGCAAGATCATACAAGATTAAACTGAAATTACCAGGATTCAATTTTTTAGGGGTTATAAGGCTCTGAATCATCTCAGTTAAGTTCTTCTGGGTAACCAAGCCAGATCGGGTTCCAAATTTGCTAAGCTTTCCTGTTAGAATTAGACTTATTTCAGCTCTCTCTCCAACGGGGAGCTCAGAACACCCGGTATTGCTTCTCCTCAGGTGGGCAGCACTCCACAGCTAACACTGCTGGAATGGGAGCTAGACAAGAAACCTAAATCTGTTTTGAACCAGTTGGTTCTGCAATATTTAGGTTTTAGTTTGTGAGTCTTTTCTGGATGAATTTCATTACATATCAAGCCTACTACTTAGGACAAAAAAATATTTATGTTTCTCTGTTAGTCATCTAGGAAACACTACTGAGGTATTTCCATTTCTTGAAGATTCCTTATAATTTTTGAGTCACACACACACACACAAAAATCTCAGAGTTGGTTTAAATTCCCAATGTCCAGCTTTTCTTTCCCTTTACTTAAACTGAAGTACACACTAACCTACCTTCTTCTGTCCATCCCTACTATACTCTGAATCTGAACCAATTATTTCTTTCCAGGATGGAATTCAGACATGTAAATATAACAGCAGTTCGACAGAAGCCTTCAGGCAACTCATTTCTTCAGGAAAAGTCATATACATCATCAATCAATGGGGGAAATTAGTAAGCAAGATTTTGTCCTAATGGTTAGAGAGCCTCCAACAGCAAATTCCCCAAATAGTCATCATGCCCCAAATCCACCCGGATGGTCATATCACACACACTCATCATCATCATCATCATCATCATCATCCCCTTTGAGGAAATTACAGCTTACTGGAACCAGTTAACAAAGAAGGGCACAATATTGAAAAGACAGATTCAGGTTGGTAATTTGCTACTAAAGAAAACAAAATTCTAGGAAATAGCAAACATTCTGGCTGTCAAGGTCAAGCTTCTCAATCCCTTTTAGCTCTATTAAAAAAAAATATTAAAGCTTAGCTCATCTCATGTCATATGTGGCCTTTCTTCCCCTGCAGAAAGAAGAGTCCATTTGGGCTTTCTCTAAGTAACTCTTGGAGCATTTTATAAAATGTTTATGAAACAAACTCCTCCACTCCAAATGCATGAAAGAAAGCATCTGATCCCAGATATGTTTCACATTCACCTGGTTTAACTGAATAATTCCAGAGAAGTTCATTATTTGCCCCTGCCCTGGAACAGAGACTTGGGGATTTTCTACCCGCACACACGCCGCTACCGACTCGCCTATTTGAAAATGTTGATGTTACTAGGTTAATACGTTTCACTGAGCTTTAGCATACTTGTAAATCCAGCCTCTTTTATTATGTTCTGCCAAATTCTCTTGTAAATCCCAAATCCACGCGCGGCCGCTGGCCATTTCCCATCCCTCGCGCCGCCCCACGCTTCCTCGAAGCTTCCCAGTGCCCTGCTCACGCCCTGAATGCCCGTCCCAAGCGTGCGCCTCGAGGAGCGGCCAGCCCGGAGCGAGACACACCGAGCCCCACGCACAATGTCCCCTCGAACATCTCTGACTGTTGCAACACCCCCTCCTAAGCCCAGAAAGGGCCGGTCGCAGGGCGCGGAAAAGCAGCTGCCCTCCCGGCCTCCAGCTGGCAGATCAGAGCCTTCAAGGCTGGAGGAAAGGAAAGAAAGTGTCCGACCACCTGGCACGGAGCCCGCCATCACCCGACTCCCATACCGCGCACCCTCGACACACGCAGGGGCCAGCGGGACTGGGAGCAGGGGCTGCTTGGACACTGAACACCTCGCCCGGGACGCTCGGAGCTGGCTCCCCTGAGCTGCCCCGGCGAGCACCGAGACCCCGCTCTGGCGGAGCGTGGCTTGGCCCGGGCCAGGAGGGGCGCGCCACTTGGGGGCCCATGGTCGTGCCAGGAGTAACGGGGTTAGGGTGGCTGCCAGGCCCTGGAGCGGCGCGCCCCGAGAGCCCCGGGCGGGCACGGCAGGAGAACTGGGGTGGGTAGGGAAGAGGCACTTGCTAGGTCGGCCAGGGGTTCGCACCCACGCGGGCCAGGAGGCCAGATTCATCCCCTCCCCGAAGAAGGAGAAGCTGGTATCAAGCGTGCTGGAGCCCCGCGCCGAGCAGCGCGCAGCGTCGGGCGGAGAGAAGCTGCTGGTCCTGGGCCGGCGCCCCGCCCCACGCCCGCCGGTTCCACTCACCTGGCAGTTGGCGCCGGAGACCCCGGCGGGGCAGGTGCAGCTGTAGTCGGGCTCGCCGGCAGGGGCCGGGGACTGCGGGCCGGGCGCGGGGCGCGGGGTGCACACGCCCCCGTT